TAAAAGCACTATTTAATATTTGAGAGAGTAATTACTTTCTTGCTCAAAGATACTAATATCTATATATAATAAGAAGACCTTTGTTCATACACAGTGATAAAAATGATGAAAAAGGAAAAAAAGAAATTTCAATTTATTCCAATAGTAAGAGATTTTCCATTTTGTATTATATAAATATGTATACATTTGTATCATTTTTCTGTTGAGGATATAATTTTGCATTAAAAAGTACTTTTTTGTCATATCTTCTTGAACTAAAAGAAAACGTCAACTTAGTTTTAACATCCCTGGCTTTGAAACATTACATCACTTGTAATGTCTGCACTCATGTTTCGGCAGAGGAATGAATTTCATCTTTCCTTCATTTCTAGTCAAAACTGCTTCTCAAACAAAATAACAGTTCAGCTGATTTATTACTTTATTTTTTTCTTGGCGCCGATGTGTTATGATGTGTTAAGATATTTGACTTTTACGTACATCCATTTGATAAATGGGACAATAGAATTTTGTTTTTGATAATCGAAAAAATAAAAAAGGAAATAGCGTAAAATATGGCGCGAAAAATTGTGAGAATATTTTGCGATACTACCATGTAAGAGCAAATGATTATATAGAATAATAAAAGAAATACCACGGATAATACTTGTTTCTCTGTAAAGGTAATTTTAAAATATGATAAACAAGGTTAACAAGGAAAGGTGGTGTTCAATGAACGCAACCCCCAAACGACCCAGCAACAAAAAAGACACGCTTTTATAATTTTATTATACGCATGTATTCAATGCAATCTACTTCATTTGTATATAAAAGAGAACTTTATAGTAACATAATTAGGTTGATTGTAGAGAAAAATAAAACTATGTTATTATTTCATGTAAGCATGAGTATATATAAACAGGCTATGCGTAGTTATATTTAAAGTTGCAAGTGAATGTACTATCTAGATGGAATTAAACCGTGGGTTCTTGTTTCACTTCATATGTTGTTCATGTTTTAAAAATGTGTCTATCAAAACAAATCGAGCATATATTAAGTTGTATTTTCTTTTGTCTGAATACATATTTGAAATAGTTTCTTCTAACCAGACAAAACAACTCGCGAAATGTAATTAAAGAGGACAGGGACGACCTCAATATAGGCTAACGTGGAATGCTGCCAGTTGTTGAACATCTTTTAAAGTCGGTCGATACGTCTGACACCTATTACTTTTTCAAAGCCTTCTATTGCAAATATGAGCCGCGTCACGACAAAACCAACATAGTGGGTTTGCGACCAGCATGGATCCAGACCAGCCTGCGCATCCGCGCAGTCTGATCAGGATCCATGCTGGTCGCTATCAGTTTCTCTACTTGTAATAGGGTTTGAAAGCGAACAGATTGGATCCTGATCAGACTGCGCGGATGCGCAGGCTGGTCTGGGTCCATGCTGGTCGCAAACCCACTATGTTGGTTTTGTCGTGATACGGCTCATATGTGTTTAAAAAGTCAATATAAGCAATGGTAAAATTTCTTTAAACATTTCTGGAAAATGAGTGAGGTTGTCATCTTTTAGCCGGTTGGTCGGACAAATAAACAGCGGTTGGTCGGAAAAATAAAAAGCTTTAATATATTTTCCTGACTAAAGTAACAAAGCAAATTCAAGTCAAACATAAGGAAAGTAATTACGTTTCTTACTTTACCAAACATTTTTACTTACAACTAACACTATTGCCTGAATCAAGATTTCCCAAAAGAAATCAGGAAGCATTGATTCCTCAAATCTCAGCGACTTAATGACAATTTTGTAATTTCTTGCGTGATGTTTTATACTTAGTCGCTCCCTTTTTCACAAATATTTCCGAAGCATAATTGTTTAATAGTGGCTACAGTAATACCGAAATAACGAACATTTGAATTGTAAAGACATTTTACCAAACGAGAAAATGCAAACATCGTTTGGAATATTAATTATCAGTCAAGAAATTTGGACAACACAGAAGCAAGTATGAATTTCGCTTAAAATTCAGTATTCTAATGAAACTTATTTCTAAAGAAACACATACTATAAAAGAAGAATTATAATGACACTTAATCACACACACCTTGTCATGACCTTATAAAATATTTGATCATTAAATGATCTGAAAACAAAATTGAAAGATAATTCTTTGAAGCACACATACTAAATGTTACATAGGTTCAAGAATAATAGTTTTCTGTGCAAAATGACAAAAAAAAACAAAACAACAACAACAACAAAAACAACAACGCTTTTAACTCAAGTCGGGCTAAGAAATGTAAAGAAGTTGTTTTCAATTTAAGTGAGTATTTCGTTTGTTCTTATCTTTATCGTTTGAAATGTAATAGTCGATTTATGAAAGATTTTTTTTTCAGGATTATGAGCTTAAGAAGAACTCCTTTAATATACACAACGTCATCATAAACAAGGAAATGAAATTTGGATAAAACAATCGATAATTGTATTTTATAAGAAAAGTAATGGAAGATCGTCGGTCGAACATTTTCGCTATATTTCGTTTATCGTCAAGGTCAAGGTCCATACAATCAAAGCCTGGACAGATTTATCATTATGTTTTGTTGACTTGAAGTATTTGTTTTATATATTGGTTTTATGAAGTATACTTACACAGACGTCTGCTTCATACAAACTGAATGACGAATGCTAATGTAAAACATTCGATTAGTGTAAAGTATAAATGAGCCGTGTCATGACAAAACCAACATAATGGGTTTGCGACCAGCATGGATCCAGACCAGCCTACGCATCCGCGCAGTCTGATCAGGATCCATGCTGTTCGCTTACCAACCCTATTTTAAGTAGAGAAACTGATAGCGAACAGCATGGATCCTAATCAGACTGCGCGGATGCGCAGGCTGGTCTGGATCCATGCTGGTCGCAAACGCACTATGTTGGTTTTGTCGTGACGCGGCTCAAATATAGTTATAAGTATTTTACGTATAAACTAATATTTTGTAAGAAGGATATACTATTTTTCTACGATATATTAGATTTTATTAATAATACTGGATGAATCACATCAAATTTTGCTAAAAAACTGTTACTGTTTCTTCAATCTAAATTGACGTAAGCAAAGGCGTTTCAATCATTTATAAAGAAGTGTTTTTCTGTAAGCGTTTGAGTTATTGATTAGTATAAAGGTAAATACCGAATATTTCTGTTTTATTTGTTTGAAAACATAAATAGCGACAATGCAAGAACTAAAACTAAATCATTCAGGCAGCTTGTTTTCATTCAATACAATTAAATTGCATCACGCTTAATACACCAGTTCTATTCATAAAACGCCTAATGATTCAAAATGTTGAAGGAACCCGTGTCATATACAGGAGCTTGTATATGATGTAGAATTTCCAAATGATGTTTTTTTTAATTACAAAAACATCTAGTGATCAATTTACGTCAAATTACACAATTAAATAAAGTCAGCACAATCTATGATCATATATAAGTTATGGGAAAATCACAAATACAATCAAATTTCAATATCTGTTCAGTGGTTCACGGTTGATTAGCAAATAAATGATAGGAATGAAAATTATATCTGTAATTATGTACAAGTGTCCATCATGCCGCAGTGGGACTATCACATTTGTTGTGAATATCAATCCCCCAAAGCTGACGTTTTTATGCAATACTTGGCTTTATTCATGCCATATTCAGTAACCGGAAACTTCACACAATAAATGATGTTGTGTGAAAGATGTACAATAGTTGTCGTATCATTTAAAGTCTGAATACTTTGTTATGTTTCCCTCATTAAACACTTTCTTCTATCTAATGATTTAAATATACTCTAGTTGCGTATGTCGATTTTATGATAATATCAGCTTCTTAAGTATAAAGTCGAAATATAGAGATATGTTTGTTTTACACCCAAAGAGGACGTCAAATTTAAACATTGTTGTTTTGTTTTTTTAAAAAAAGGAAAAAAGAAGGAATTAGTTGTAAAAATATGGTTGGATGAGCCATCCTTTTCAGAAATGTGTGTGAAACAAAACTTATCATTTTCCTCTCATAAAAAGACTAAATGAAAGTTTTCCTGTCGAATTCTAATTCCTGTTTTCGGAGGATTTGGTTTTAGATTTATATCAAAATGAACTATTAATTAGGATTTTTTTAAAAGAAACATAGATTTTTTCTTTTCAAAGGTCATTTATTTAGTTGCTTAAATGCTTCTTGAACCATTTAACAGAACCTTAAAGGGGGCAACATTGGTTTGGAAAATTAAGCGAAGAACATGTTCCTTCGTACAAAAAATACCTAACACTTTACTACTAAATTGATCAATTTAATCGATGCATCTGATCGGAAGAAGGCATTGTGATATATAGTTCTTGGATGAACCTTTTGCCATTTTGCCAATTTGTCCCGAATATTAAAATGACGAAAAACCCAAGCAGATAATTAAATCAAGATACGACTAAGCTAGGCATGAATTGGTTCATTATCTTTATTCAAAATAAGCTAAAAGATCCACTTTGAAAGAAAGAGGAAAATCGTTTCTATTTTGTTTGTTCACGTTACCGTTTTAAGGCACATACAAACAATCTCAGGCTGTTATAATTTGTGTCACTTACACAGACCGTAATAGGTATTACAGTATCTTTATATGTTATTTTACTTTTACCTTTCCAAATTTCCTTTTGCATTTTTACAAGTTAAATGTCAATAAAAAAGAAGTAAAAAGTGCAATAACCTTGTATAAAAATATTAATATAAAATCTAGAAGTGTATTTGAACTTGCGTATTTTATCCCACTTACTTGTTTGGTTAATAGGACGCAGTAACACTTATTCTGATTGTGTAGTGAACTCGCAATATCATCTTAAGAGCTTGCATAAGTTTTAATCATTTTTATAGCATGTTATTTGCCATGGTGACATCGGGCCGGGTGCCTAGTTTTATGTTTACTTTATATATAATATGTATATTTGTAATAATGTCAATGTACATGTCACGATAATAAACAATTTACTTACTTACTTACTTGTTAATTCTTGTCTTTGTCTTTCTCAATGACTGAGATGTTTTTCCAAAGGCAACGACAAGCAGCAACATCATCTGTTTCAAATAAATACACAATGCTTAATTATATGTTTTAATTTATTACCTTACATAAAGATAAATATGAATTGTACGGACAACTTTCTTTATTATTCTATTTATATAAATGCCATTATTATCACATAAGCCATGGCACAATAGTGTAAAGAAAACATTTCATAAAAACGATATTACACTAGTATAATTACACTTTGACGTAACGTCATTTGCATTGTAAATAAGCATAGCGTTAATTTAAACGCGCTATCAAATAATGACTCTTTTAGCTGAAAACGTTTCTTATTTTAGACATTTTATAAACAGAATATTATATTCGTGTAGATTCAATACGAAATTTATTGAACTTGTTGAAAAAAACACAATATTATCATGCGAGCCAAAGAACACATTTAGTATTAAATCAACACTCATTCAATATTTTTATTCAAATATGATTATAGCAGGTATCATTTGGTATATGTTATCTAAAGTATAAACATTGTTGTAAAATCGATAGGTTTTTTTTAAACTTGTACCTGACATAAAGATAATACAGAATGCATTGTTAGAATATTGTTTTCATTTCTTCTAAAACCAAATTGCATGTGTTAGAACTTTGTCATTGTAACTGTTAAGCTTCAACCTTATTCCTATTACATGGAGTGTTCGGAAACAAATGGTAAGCTTGAATCTTTGTGTGTTTACACCTATCAATGAAACTTAATAATTTTTGGATAAATTATAACTTCATGTTATGTTTATATTAACAGAAACATTTACAACTCTTTGACTGTTGGCCGTTCATCGCTGTAGTGTAATAATCAAATATACAAGTGTACACGTTTAGACGAAATATTCTGACATCCGATCGGGTAATACGGCTCCTTAAATGCTGGCACATTTTCACCAACTTGTCACTATAAGGTGCAGTATTGCCACACATCCGAGTAACCATAATTGATGCAGTCACACCAAGTTAATTTTACAAAGTGCCGACTGCACTTGATGAAAGTTGGAACAGAAATTGGAGTGACGTTAGCCTTCACTAAATGAAATCAATTTACTGCAATAAAATTGAAAAGAGGAGAGCGGAAACTAATTTACTATAGTTTAGGAAGAAATCAATTGATGTTTAATCATGTTATTTCTGCTATTTTCTCAACTGTCGTAAGTTATCTAAATAAATGCTTTGATGCGCTAGAAATATTCTGTTCAATTAAACTCTTTTAAAAATAGCAGAAGTGAATTGATTGCTTGAGATAGCCATATTCGCTAACGTCAGATCTACCATCTTCATAAGTCGGTTATTCCAGAGCAGAAAATTATATCAGTGCATTTACCTAAATCTGTGAATCTGTGACATAATATGGAAACGACCGTCTTTGATTGCGATAGAGAAAACAAAATTGATTTACAGTTATATCACAATAGCTTAAATTGACAAAAGATATAATTTTTTTTATAACATTAAGGAAATGTACTCCTTGAATAGAACATATGTTCGTGTTATTCCCTTACGGATCAGTCCGCTGAAACATATCTTCATAGGAAATTATTTACATTAATTATACAGATTTTCTTTTCATTTGATACTTTTATGTTTGTTCATTACTAATGAAATGAGACATGTTTGAACTTTTTGAATTGATCTTAATTAAAGCTAACGCAAAATAAACACTAAGCGAACAATTTTCGGTTAATACGCTTGGAGCTATTCGAAAATTAAATAAACTGTGCGCTGTATTTTTTCACGGACAGTTTAAAATAATATGAACCGATATACGTGTACTATTAGGTTATTAGGGCCTTTTACGAATCTGTAAATTCAATCATGTGTTCCTCAATAACATAATTATTTTAGTATGTAGCAGATTATCTATTTCCCAGTAAAGACGCAATCACCTCTCGCCTGACCGATATTTACAACGTGAAACCATAATATACATATATAATATAACGATGATGATACAATATCTACATATAACATCTGCGTCACATATTAAAGTAAAATAAGTTAAATATAAGCATATCTACCAAATGACAAAACATTCTAAAAAATCAGCCATACGTTACATATAAAGTTTTATCTGAATGATTAATTAATTGTCTTTGGTAATAAAGTGCTTCTTTATTATGTAAATATTTTCGACCACATATTTGTGATCAAAACCAATTTTGAGACTTGTAACATCTCCTTATTTAATTGTTATTTCAATCAAACATTTGTTTTGAAAGTATCAATTTTATTTTAAAAGCACAATTCCTATTACTTGTGACCTTGCCAAAGAAGTAAATGCTTGTATTTTTAATCTTAAGGTAAGTGAACACTTAACTTAAAACAACACAAAACAAACAACCTTTGCAATACTGTATGCAATCAAATGTTGTATAATATTCTCATCAAGTTTATACTGTGTATACAGTTTTGGACCATGTTTGTTTTTAAAATCAACTTATTTTATATAAATATGAATTGTTTAACAATGGTAAAAGTTCTATCTTTGACTGAAAATTTAAAAAAAGCAGAGCAAATTATTTCTCTTGCTTAAAAATTCAAGTCAAGAATAAGACAACATATGTGTTTCCACGTGTATGCTATGAAACCAATTCTTGAAAACATGTTTATATTTGTATGTTAAAATATTAAATAGAGCAAAAAATTATCATTATTAAATACAGAGTAAAGGAGTATCATTATAAAACAAGGAGCAAAAAGTATCATTATAAAATAAGGAGCAAAATCAAAATTAATAAATAAAATCAAATATTACAAGACGTCTAAAATACTAACCTTGTTGTTCAAATATTAACAAAACAGAATTTCCTCATTTATTTAATCACATTAGTATAATTTGGTTTGCATAATAAATGCAGATAAAAAGGCCTTGAATATTCTCTAGCGAAATTGTTAAAATGAGCATTCTCTTAGAATAGTTATGAATGTGTTCAAGTTGTTTACACCTCATACATACAATTATTTGTCTCAGATCTTGTTTGTTTGACTCCGTTCATAATATGAGCCGTGTCATGACAAAACCAACATAATGGGTTTGCGACCAGCATGGACCCATTATGTTGGTTTTGTCGTGACACGGCTCATATAAAACGACAAATAAAAGTTCAAAGCTTCATCGGAAACCTTTAAATGACAAGATATCGTTTTAATATCATCAGTTGCTTTATTTGATATGCATATACGAGACATTTATACATTCAAATCACAATTTATTAGTACTTCAAAGTTGAAACTGTAGTACTTTCTTATTGACCTTACCATTAATTAGTGAATATGGAATACAAGAACGTATTTTATTTCACGGGGTTGTCTCTAAAGACGTTTTGATGGACATATCAAACCATAAAATGAACTTAATTAAAACTCGTTCTCGGCTATTTTTGCGTATAAAGTACTTGAATGAATATCTGAGCTTGTTTATGTTTTGAATATCCCGTCCTGTACTAACATAATTTATTAAGCAATTACATATAAACATATAGAGAGCAAGAATTGAGTTTAAGCGATGATACAATTTGGACCATGATCATCTTGGTTGAAAGTGGCGTTTTAATTAATTTTTTTTTTCTAATTTTGTTTTGAAAGCAAAAACAATTCAATTTCGCAATGGTTCGCTTTAATTTTAAAATACAGGTTTGCAACAAAGAAATTATTCAAGCAAACCAGTTTAGTGACGATATAAATCTACAAAATTATATTTTGGTACCAAGCGCTTGTATCTTTCAATGTTTATAGCTGAAGATGATTTATATTTAAAGTAGTACAGGAAAACGAATCGTTGCTATTTCTTAAGAAGAAAACGAACAAAATGTAATGAACTTTTGATTGGCGCGTTAGATTAAATACGTCACAATTCTGCCAAATTTATCACACAGTTGACACTTGTTCAATAATTTTGTTATTGAGAATACAGCAGTGTACATTAATGATAGCGAATGACCTTCCAGGCATAAGACTTTTACTTAAATATATAACGCAATCATATAGATACCAACGTTATAATAATTATATATCAAGCAATCATGTTCCAAAAACGCTTGTTAGTCGTAGATTTATTTAAACTGGTTTTATGTCATACCTATCATCGGTATTCAATCAATAGTGTAGATTAAAACTTTCAATTCGCTTATTCTTCCTCTGAAAGAAAATGCCAAATTGTACTAAAGCCAATGTATGGTTGAGCCCACTGTTATTTCTTTAGCATACCAATCGTGCAGTATATTCAATGGCTTCTTTATAGCTTCATTATCATAATTGAGTTCAAGCCATGACCAGACAAAGATATAATATCTGATCGATACACCTGCCCTGACTAAGCTTATATAAAATAAAGATATAGTAAGACGTTTATTATTCTGAAAAAGCCATTGATGTCATATAAAAAGATAATAATCTTTATATATTACTATAATAATTTACCCAGATACAAGGTAGTGGACCAATTATTCAGGCCATTTGCCAAAAAACGAAAACTCACTGAGACTATAGTTGATAACGTTTTGTACTCCAAAATGTTTTATGTCTAGAAGTGTTTAATATTTGAATAATCAGAATAATAAGTTGAGTAACTTATCTCAAAACTAGTCGGATTCATTATATATTACATTCTCAATATTGGTGATTTTGTTTTGTAAGGTGCCCTCCTGGGCTCTTGCCAGTTATCCAGTGCCACTGGTGGGGCTAAATGTTTCCTTATTGATCTTTACTCTTGCATTAAACTATCTTTTATGATAATAAGAATTTTAAAATAATGCAGTTATATATTTATTGATTAAAACATAGAGCTATATAAATCATATAAATGATTTACTAATTCATTGATTTGATTTGCAAAAATTTATATTATTCGTGAACAATCTCTTTTATAAAGAAACACATTATAATCTTACAAAGGGAATCAAATGAAAAGTTTGCGTAACCTTCTTTATGTCTGTGTAAGAAACCTATTTTAAAACTGTGCTCCGAGATTAATTTGTTAAATGCGGTTTTGGCTTCTTTTACA